TTAAATTTTATTTAATATAAACATTTAAAAAATGTTAAATAACCTGGTCAATATTAACCTAACCTAACCTTATTATATCCGCACCATTTTTAAAACGTTAATACAACTATTACTTAGAACTATTATATTATCATCGTTTATATTCAACTCTATACCCCCTTTTTGTTTATGTTATCTTTTATCTAACTAGAAATATACACAAATAATACTTGCTGTTCCCCAAGGCAATAACATATCTCCTTCCTGTTCAATGATTTACCAGTGACCTACCAATCTACCATCAAAACGAAAAAAATCTCATTTTTATATTTGCGAATGACACTACAATTATTCTTACAATCGACAAAGATCCAACCAAGCAACACAAATAATCCAAAGCCATCTAAATGTGCTAAACATATGGTTTCATGACTGGAAAATCCAAGTCAATCCATTTAAATCCTCTTAAATTACTTTTACCCTTCGATCTCTTAACATTCTTCCAAAAAACTATCTCACAGGTGTCGTTAATGGGCAACCCCTCTTCAATTTACTCATTGTATAACCATGTATGTAAATACGGATTGTAAAAATTAATATTAAAACATTTAAAAAAATAAATATATATGATTGAATGTCAAAGAAAATTATACATTTAAAAAAAAGCATTTTATTCTGTACCCAATAAATTATAAATAATACAAAATAATGTTATAGTAAGTTTACCTATTATAAAATTTAAAGTTAAGAATATTATCCAGTAGGCACCACATAGAATTTGTTGATATTTTAATTTTGAAGCAAATTACATTAATTTAACAGTCAATTTAACATTTTCTGTGAAATTGATTCTTCTATAAACGTACAATTTGCAACCTATGTTATTCATTAATAATACGACACCAACACCTAAGGTACCTACTTTCTTAATACAATTGACGATATTGTATTAAATTGATTGAAATATTAAAGTGATAAACGGTACCTTATGTTTTTATCTAAAGTACGTTGAAAATCAAATTTAAAAACTATGAGTTCTCAAAAAGTCTTCAAATTATACATAAATTATTATTATTTCATATATTGACAATTGACACGATATTACAATAATACATGAATCTAAATAATAATATTAATAAACACCTAAAGTAAACCAGTGTTGTCAAATTAGTCAACATATGTGTACTGCGTTTTGCCCGTTACAAGGCGATTGTTGTGCGTTTTATTTTTTGGATAAAAAATATTAAATAATTTACTAGTTGGTAGGTATTGTAGTATGGTTTCTTAAAACATTTTAAAATAATTTTTCAAATATATAAAATAAGTAATACTTGGGTATGTGAAAAATACATAAATTACATAAATCAAGTGATCGCTGTCAGTATTAATAAACATCACTAAAGGAAAAAAATTTTTTTATTTTTGACAGTGTTTACTATTTAGTATTCTCGGGAATTCCTTGGTATGCCAATCCTAGGCTTAAAAATGTTTTCATAAAGTAAATATAACTTATATTTATATAAGATATAATAAGTAATTAGTAATTAACAATTTTTATATAGCTCATATAAACGCTTAACAATAGTAATTATAGAAAGAAAAAAAAATTACTTTTTGGATAAATCGATTACCATATCGACAATCCACATACCTTGTACCTGTTGTAAAATAAGCTGTATATACATTTAACGTATTGGAGATTCGCATGGATAGCATTCGTTAATAATATTGTGTCCAGTATTATCATTTATTGTACCTATATTTTTCTAAATTATTTTACTACTACATATTTACATTTAGTTTTTATAACGTTTATAATTTAAACATTTTAATATTTTAACAAGCTAAATAGATAAATAGCATTCTTATTGTTAAAACTAATATTTATTTATAGTATTTACTTTTTAAAAGTTAATTATTTTATTATATCATTTAATTTCATGAGAGCAATAAATGGATTTTTAGATTWCGAATTAATGATTAATTCTATAGTGACAAATTTCGATTTTGAAACATAACAGCAAACAGTTACGATAGTCCAATAATGCCAATAATGGTATATTATTTAGGAACTAAATGATGAAATAAAAATTTTAATAGATACCTTTGATATTTTATTACACCTAATGCGTTTAGTTTTTATTTCTAGATACAGATTGATAGTGAACATATTTACTTTTATTTATTTATTATTAAATTCGAATATCTATTTCAATAATATGTTATAATATTATTGTATTATAATTTACAACACAATAATCATACACTTACGGCGAAATAAATGCTGAAGAACATTTGACGTATTCCCTGAGGTCACACAGTGGTTTGAAATCCGGATCATTTTCCAGTGAGATTTCCACGTACAGAGCATACGCGGACACACAAAATCCGATCAACGCGTACGCCTTGATGATCCTGTTGACCGTGCCGAGTTGGACCATGATTTGACAAGTGCGTCACGGTAGTCGTCCCTTCGTATATACGTCAGCATACTGTCACACTAGCACTAGCATTCTCACAATTAAACTATTACCTGTTATTGAGTTCGGTCATACGTGAAATTGGTTTTATGCAAATGCAGTATACAGTGCGTTACTTACACTGTATTGCATCAATTATTTTATACTTTACCAGGCGTGGCCAGTGCGAATGTATCGTATGTCGTATCCTATTATGTATTTACATATTTCCGAGATGTGGACAAACTTCTGTGTATTTTTCATTTTCCCAGTTTCTAAAAATTAAATTATACAAAAACTCAATAATAACTATCTATTTTATTTAAAACAATGTAATATTAATATGMATAATTTCTTCAATTTTCTAAAATATTTTGTAATCGAAATTCAATAATAGTAAACAGTGTGGTAGTATAACATAATATTTTAATATAATTTAACAATTATGTTCTTATTTTTTTGTTATAGGCTACGAAGATAAAATGTCTGGAAAATATAAATCCATCAATTATTTCAAAATAGATAGCATTAAAAGTATATATTCTATAATATGACGGTGGCAGTTTCCATCAATCAAGAAAATTTCTTTTGAGGAATCATTAGTGCCGTAGATAGAAATAGATGGGCCCCAGTGCAAATTAAATTTGTGGCCCTTTTTAAGGCGCACATTGGGTGTGAATGTAGGAGGTGCTGATATAATTGATGGTACACAGATTCGTGGGAGGCTTATAGCCCTCCACAGTCCACAACCCCACTAATAATATAATAAACTGCATTGCAATAATTTTAAATGTTTACTTATTTATATTCTTACTTTTTAATTATAATACAAATATAATTAATTAATATTTGAATTAATTTTTCTTTAATACTTTGTATAGACAAATTTGAAATTAATAACTAATAATAAAGTTGAAATTGTATAAATGTTAATGTAATCGCTACTCTTTATTTATTTAAGCTATTAAGCAACTATACRCTGTACATAATATATTATGTATTCAAAACATTTAAAAATAATTATATTATTACATGTTATTATATGGGRACTGCAGGGGGTGCTAATTTGAAGCCTGGCTGTGCTATATATTATACTAAAATAACAAAGTGCTAACGGCATTATCATTATATTATGATCTTATGAAAAAAATTGTTATCAGCATAGATTCTTAATTCTTATATTATTTTATTTAAGTATGGGCCTCATATTAGAAATTGCAACTCGGGGCCCCGGTGCAATGAACCGCCCGCACCGCGGTTTCTACGGCACGGAATCATAATATGATAAAAATGTTTTGTGAATTACGCCTCATATAGTTCACAACTAACTGCAGATGGGATTTGGTGTAATGCTAAACGTTTTTGATTTATTTACGGTTACATTTTATAATTATCATTCGGTTTGCGGGTTGCGGCGCCCATAAACTAAAATATTATATGATAGGTATACCAACCCAACAAAATAAATTAAATTTTTATCAAATTTGATCGTATACAAATACAATACGTACATATTAATAACATTATCGTGCAAATAAAATTACATAGGTGTATGGTGTATCGTATACATGCATATAAAAAGGTATAACAAGGGGCGGTGGCATTGGCAAGTATATTTCACCTAGACGCGTACGAATTTCAAATCGAAAATGACTGAGCAGTGTATACTTATATTGTTATTGCTGTGATGACTGATGAGTGATGACAAAAAATTTGTGTTTCGTCCTACATTACAATTTAAGATATAGGCAGGTTTGACCGAAATGTGCACTCAAGAATAATGTTATACGAGCTGTTACGATGTATTTTTAACKGAATTATATTATACTATTAATACTTATACGAGTAGTTTATATACTACAGATAAAAATTGTCTCGTATTTTCTATATAAATCAACGTATTACCTATAAATAATTACTAATTAAAATATATTTTATTTTATATTAATCTCTAAATAAATTAGAGCATAATTTTAAATATACAAATTATTATTATTATAATACTTTATTCGACTTACTTAACACTTAAGTTTAAATATATCCAAAACAATGTAATCCAATACGAACAAAATTGAAAAAATCTGAACATTTTTTGTATATGACTTTTTTTAAATATATATATCTGCTATTATTCTCGGGTTGAATCTAGCACTGTAAACCTGTACATACTTGGCTTGTTTATGGCGCCTTTGTGTACATCGTGAATTCTTTTGATCCTGTGGCTCACGAGTTCTGACGCACTGCAACATTAAATATAATTTGTTTAGTCCGAGAATTTGCAGAAAAATTCTGTCATCACATATAAATTAACGACGATGGGTATATAAAAAAACTTAATACGTTTAATAGTTACTTACCACCAAACAAAAAAATAGATATATGTATGGGTAATTAGTGATCGTTATTTGCGATCCATCTTTATTGCCGTCGTTGCCCTTTCCTATATGTATGTGTTGTTATGTTTAAGTATTATTTGCTATAACCGGTATAATCGCACATTGGTTTAGCACGTAATACTTAGTTTTACTTGTCAGTTGGTTTCTGCTCATTCCGAAACCACACTTAACTAAAATATTCATCAATTTAATGGTATTATTCTAGTGAAATATGTAATATTATATTATAATGTTCTTCTAATTTCATAACTACGGTATATTTTTTTATACTATATCAAACCTAATCTCGGTTATTTGCACGTAAAATAATATTTTCCCTTCATTTTTTGATAATTTTTGTATTTTTGTAAATTTCCTCTTGTAAAATGGCTGTAAATATTAGTTCAGCGGTTAAATCAAGCAATATAATGACCATTCAACTGGACTTGGAAGAATTAAAACTCAACATCGACAATATGTTTTTAGTTATCAACGGAATAATTGTATCTTGTGAGTACATATAGTTGATCTTATATACTACATAAATATTAAACATTATTTTCAGAACTATATTCATAAAAATGTTTTAATTTGAACTATTTGTCAAATTAACTATATCATTTTTAAATTTGTATGCACTCTAAGTATAGGTAGGTACAAAAAATATTAAAAGTAATATATCTTTGAACTGCAATTATTTTTAAATATCGTTTAAAACGCTTAAAGTGTAAATAGATTTTCTAAGCATTTTTTCAAAATATATAGTTATTAGTAACAAAATTGTATAGAATACTTAGATTAAGATAATACAATTTAAAAAACTACCCTGCATCCATATCAATTCAATATTAAATATACCTATTAATTTAGTTTATTATAGTGTACTGTAATCTACAAAGGGTCATATTAAAATACTTTGAAATTGGCGTTGATTCAATAAAAGTATGGTTGATGAAAAATTTGTATGACTATAACATATAGTGGACGTGCCTAAAATGCATAAAATATACTTTTAAATCAGTAAAAACTAAAATCATATTCATATGTAAAATGATGTGAGTTTAACGTAATATAATATTATCTTAGCTACAGTATAACCCGACTTTATATATGAAAAAATCGACAAAAATAAAATACGGTGCTATATATAATAGCTAGTTAGCAAACCTATCAGTTCACCGGCTAATTACCGTCAATGTACCTTATTTTTTAAACTATAATGTCTAATTTTACCGAAATGGGCAATCCACCTGTGGCATTTGTTATATATTTTCAAACGTAATTCAAACAACTCCAAAATATTCCTGATATCTCTAAGAACATTTTCGTAATACTAACATCGATTATATTTTAGTATGTTTTATATATGTAACTTATGGCAATCCTATATTATCTAAACAAAAAATATTCGATTTTCATGAGCTAAAACGAAATTTATGTATGAATTACTCTTTGGAAATAAGCGATGTATAGGAAACAAGTAAGTTGGAAAATAAAGTTATAATTTTTTTTGTTTTGATTATTAAGTGTTTCTGACATATAAGGTCTTCAAACTTATAAATAAGATAATTGAAAATATAACATTTAGAATTGGTAATAGTACCAGCTCCTCCAAATAACTTTATCAATATATATAATTAAAATGATCATTAAAGTCATTACGTAAATATAATTATCTAAGCATAAATAAAATACAATTTACTCTTTCATTATTTTATCTTGTCAGATTGCTTTTGCTGTGAAATTTGTTCATTTTAAATCATAACAGATTTTTAAGTATATATTTTTAAATTTAAAATAACTAAAAATGCTACTTTTTGCTGTCTTTAAAATATATTGCACACTGCTCAGACATAAATAATGATAGGAGAAGTATTGGCAACATAGTTCCTTCTCCGGTCCTCGATACCATAGAAAAAAAAAAGACATAAATAATGATATTAATGACTATGTCACATGACATTTTTACATAAACAATAACGACTTAATAAGGAATCGGTCACTAGTTCACTACTCAAAAGCATTAATAACCTTGTTTGCTATAAAATTTAAAATTCTAAATAATACATTTTACAAACCATAGCGTTTACCATAAATGAAATATATTGTCATATTGGACGTATTTCTATATACGATATATATGTGTATAAGGTATAACTCTCATGATGGATTTAAAAAAAGCTAGGGGAACAAACGCGACCGAGAACCAACATACATAAATATAAAAATACTCATGAGTTATAACTATGTTACATATATGCGTATATAAAAAACATATTATTATAAGTATCATCGGTAAACGGTAAAGCGCACTAAAAACTAACGATAGCAATAATTGAAGTCAATTGTTTTATGACAGCAACTATGAAGTAAAAATATGTATATTAATTTCACAAGTAGGTACTCAGAAATTATTTCTACGGTATTCCATATCTAATGATAACACGAAAGCGCACGTGGCCTAGTAAAATTCGATTTAAAATTTGAACATGGTAAGGTAATATGTATGCAATATACATTGCTTTTTATTTTTTAAGATAAATTTAAACAAAATACAATCACTTTGCATGACTAATTTAGATATAGTTAGTTATAATAAAAATTTTGTATTCAAGTGAATACGATATGGGTATTTACGTCGCCGATCGCTAGTACCATTTTAGATGGTTGACTCATTTGAGTATTATCTGTCATTTCGTAAAATGACATAATATTAAATATATATGTAGCTACTAGGCCAATGACAATGAAAAGACATTATTAAAAATTACAAAAAATTATTAAAATATAATAATAYTAGTAAATAGAAATAAAAGAGATTGTTTTCCTGTTCCTTGTTAATTTGACTTCACTTTTTTTCACGAGATTTGGAGTATTCGAACTTTGAATATTTCTATAGAATGTTATAATTGAATCTCAAATGTTAATTAAAATTACGGCTTATTATAGCCGCGATTCAAATATAGCGTTAATTAATATTTTCTGGTTATTGTTGTAAGTAGAAAATAAATCTTTTCTAGATTAATTTCTTATAAACGCGGGTTATTTTTATTAGGATAATTTTAAAATGACATGAAACTATATTATATTTTATGTTCAACTGTTTCTGTAATGTTATATATCAAACCCAAAACGAGTTAAAATATTTAAAAAATTATACAGTGTATAAAAAAATTCTAATATAAACATTCATTGAAAATTACATGAATCTATAGCCATTTGTTTTAGAGTTACACTAAAAATAAAAATTGATTTAGCAAAAATCCGATTTTGAGTAAAAATTCTGGTTTTCTTTAATTTAATTTTTGTTTTTCCGACACTTTTGAAAACTACTAAAATGCACCAACTACATTCAATTTCYTACCAAAAAAGTTACTGAAACTAAAAATTGAATTATTTTTTCAACTACTTATATAGTATATTCAAATACAAATTAAAAGTTTAAAAAAACTCTTCATTGTAAAACCAATAATACATTCATTGCTCCGAGCTCTGCTCAGAATTTAAAATAAAAATATTATATTTGCATTGTATCCATTATATGAGTATGATAATATGAGCAATATTAATAATTACTATTGTAGTATTATATTAATTGAATGTTTAATGTTTGCCTGCAGTTATGCAAGTAGGATTCGCATGTTTAGAAGCTGGATGTGTGCAGCCCAAAAATGTGACTAACATTTTAATGAAAAATATATTGGATTTATGTGAGTACCTATGTATAGAATTTACCTCATACTTTGTACACCATGAAGAATACAATTTAAAAACAAGTGAAAAACGTGATTTAATTGACACTAGGGAAGAACCGCAGGATTAACGACAATAAATTGATGATATTATGGATTGTATACAATAATTCATTTACTTTTTCATATAAAACATCAAAATTAAAGTGTCATCATTGGGTGGCTTCTTTATTCACTTTTGTATTTGTATACTCATGTTATCTGTACCTATCGTTATCATATATGCTTATTATGTCATCTGATATATAGATTGTATATTATGACTTAAAATTTAAAAAAAAATATATATATTATGGATTGATGCATAACTATTAACTACCTACCGGCTACCTAGCTACATAACTATTATCCATGAAAATGAAACAATATTGTTCTGAAGAATTGTGTGCAATGRAATAGAATATTCGCACCTATTATTTTTGTAAAACTCCTTTCTTAGCATTCCAGAAACAAAATGAAAGTGCCAATATGTGCTTTAAAATTTTAAAACTGATGGTGAACTTCTTATTTTGAATTTTGTATTTATTTTTTTTTTACTGTTAGAATACATTTTCTTGTGGTCTGAAAATTAACTAACTTTTTACGTGACATAAATGCTTAAAAATACACAACTAATTTGGTCGTTAGTGACCTAACCTGGCCATGGAACACAACTTGATTAATGTCTTAATCGTTAAATTTAAATCACAAAAATTGATTACCTAATTTCCATCAAAATATCAAAAGAAAATAGAGGTCTAAAAAAAGCTCTCGTGTTACGTTTTTCACGTTTTAACATGTCCTAATAATATAATATATTAAAATTTTTAATATATTTTTATAATACTTTATTATAGTCATCTGCGCCCTATCGTACTGGCTGGTGGGATACGGGTTGGCCTACGGTGGCGGTGGTTGCAGATACTATGGTAAGGAATTCTTTGCGGGCGTCGGCATGCCGTCAAGTCAAAACGGAGTGTGGTTTTTCCAGTTCGTGTTCGCAGCGACTGCAGCAACTATCATATCCGGTGCTGTAGCCGAGAGGTGCAATTTCGTCGCATACATATTATACAGCGTTATCATATCAGGTAAATCGTAACTTGTAATTCATATAAGTGTTTACAGTGCGCTGCATATTATATCATAGTACACATACCTATAGTGCGTGCTCGAGTGCTTAATTGGCTCGTATACCTGGACTAAGTCCTCTGGGGTCCCTGCAGACATATAGGAGGTAATGAGGGGGTGAGATGTGAGCTAAAGACAAATTTTATTCTCTCTGCCAAAAAAAGTTTTTAGTTGTGAACTTAACCTCCCCATATACGACGGATATTTTTCCAATTCTAACTCCCTACAATTATATAATGTTGCATACATATAATAAGCATAATAATTCAATTTTTTATTATAAATATATATTTTTAAAATATTTAAAAAAACTATGAAAAATAAAATTTTGTATTTGAAATTTGTGCGCTTATTATACGTGTGCTTATTACTAAATCCAATGCAGTCTTGCAATAACTGCTGTATAAATCCGGCTGATAAAATGTAAAATCCACTTTATATAATGATATTATATGCTATAATTATAGATACATCATACATATATTATGCATTGTTCCACGTGAATTTTGTTTATTATATATATCTATATTAATTATAAATCACTATATTAGTATTATAATATTACATATTAGGTATATAATTATTTTAGGTAAACGTGATCACCCTTTACGATAACCCCTAATAATTCAACTTATCGTGTGTATAAAATCATATTATATTATAATGTATTTATAGTTTAAAAATAACTAGAGATAAAAATAATGTTATACTTACCTACCACTATTATAGTATTATGATGACTTCCGCATTTCAGGTGTGACGTATCCCATCGCCTCGCACTGGACTTGGTCACCCGACGGTTGGTTGCTGAAAATTGGCTATTCCGATTTTTCCGGCGCTGGGACAGTGCACTTACTGGCCGGTAGCTGCTCGTTCATCGCAGCCTTGTTCATCGGGCCCCGGAACGGACGTTTTAGTACCATCGCTCCGAACGAATACAACGGACACTCGATGCCGGTAAGCCACACGACTATGTCTGTTGTATTTATATAAATTATAATAAACAACACGTTACACATGCCAAGAATAACCTGCATAGAAGGATAGAACATAAGACGAATGAAACAGTGTCGAACACGACGTTAATAAGAGAAAAACAAAGGTACCTAAAAATAATAATGAAGAAAAAAATAAAGCTAATTGGACATCTGCTAATACCACAGATATATATTATATGTATATCTGTGGTTAATTTACACAATAAATTATTAACCATCATCATGGAAGAGAAAATAAATGGTTAAAAAACTCTTGAGGATAAACGCGGAAATCCTTCTTTGAAGAAATCCACTATTGGATGGGTTTTACTTTTACGTCTTACCAACAATTTAAGAGGAAGGCATGTGGCAGACATGAATGGCTACAACGATAAAGCTTTGCTTTTAGAAGCTCATGATGAATTTATGATATAAATTTAAATAAAGCACACACATAAATACATAATATATAATACATAATACATAATACATAATATACTTTATCTAGCATACCTTAACAATTTCTTAGATTATTTTTACTAATCATTTTTTACGTAGGTACAGCCATATGTGATTACATCATATTGACTTTACCTATAAATTAGTTTATAGTATTCGACCATTTAAAAAAACATATTTATGTTTATATAGCTAGTAGCCACGGGAACTCTGTTGCTTATATCAGGATTCCTGTCGTTCAATGGCGCGTCCCTGGGCCATATTACCAAACCCGGTGACGGAGAAATAGTGGCAATTAGTGTGGCCAACACCATTTTTAGTGGAAGTGGTGCGGCAGTGGTCATATTGATTATAGGCAAAGTTGGTCTGATTGGGGAGTCCAGGTGGCCATTCGCGATGACCATCAACGCCGTCTTGAACGGAATGGTGAGTATACCTAATATTAATAATCTTAAATATTATATCCACTTACTTTTCATAGATACAACCTTACTTCAGTGGATAGCTTAAATTTTTAGGGTTGCAGTTCATGGTATAAAGGTGTACTTACCTAATTATATATATTTACTTATATACTTATATACTTACTCAGGTCTCGGTGTGCGGAGGTGTCAACGAGTACACACATTTTTCTGCAGTGCTGATTGGAATGATTGGTTGTATCATTTACTTAGTGTTGCAATGGTTTGTTCCCCTTTTAAAAGGTATAAATATTAAAATATATAACCTACGTAATTATTATATAATATTATTTAGGCTTTAGATATTTTGTGGCCCTGTGCAACATTAAAATATATCCATATCTGAGGACAAAAATATACCATCCGGTGCCTTAAGCCATCCCTAATTACTTGTATCATTATATGTTGTATATTAACACTCATCATTGTTTATAAATTCATATATGTAATTATAAGTTGGTAGTGTTTATAATCAACGCACGTATATTATACAACACTTAATTCGAAATTGATTTTTGTTTAACATTAATTTAATTCAAACGGTCAAGCTTTAATTGTTTTTCATAATTTTCGTTTTAGTTGTATATAATTATATTTTATTTAGTGGACGATCCGCTAGAAACGACTGCCGTCCATTTTGGTGGTGGATTGTGGGGAGTGATAGCTACACCGCTTTTTGTAAAAGGAGGATTTTGGAACAATCCCGATTCTATGCCAGTAAGTTTATGTAATATATAAAGTCGAGTGTCTTAATATACTCTATGTATGAAGGTGTCAAAATGATTTAACAAACATATGCTAACAGCCATTAATCCTTCTACAACAATTTTTTTTTAATTCTGATTTTATAATCATATAATCATATAATTTAAGAAGTGTTCTGTGGCAGTTCCAACTTCTCCAATTTTTTTAAAAATAGGAACTGATATTCTTTAGCATAAATTATTAAATAGATAATTTTTCATAAAAATTAGACATGTGCAAACGAGAATTTTAATAAGTACTTTAATTCCGTGTCCTTAAAATGTATGTATTTATTAAGAATAATAGTCCATAAAAATAATTTAACAAAAACATAAAATGTAATATGTAAAATTGAATCTAGCAGTTTGTCTACATATCAGTTCATTAATTAAAAAAATAAAGAGGTGTTTTTATTTACACTTTACAGCTTTTGAAATCGAATCTAATTGGTGCTGCATCGATTATTTTATGGTCAGTAGTAAACAGTGCAATATTGTTCGGGTTCCTAAGAGTGTTTGACCTGCTCCGTGTGTCCAAAGAAAAAGAGATTATCGGTAAATGAATATTTTATTATAATATAATTATATTTTTAGTGTGATATAGGTAAGTATATTATTATTATAGTACGTAGTTTAGAGACATGCATATTTTATTGATATTCATATATTAATATATTGTGTTAATTTTTTAACGTATCAATGGAGCGTAATTTTATTAGATATACTTATTATATTATTATATTTTTCGTAATTTGTGTGAGTATAATGTTTAATTGCAATGTTCTTCCAGGTTTGGACATGAGTCTTCACAAGGAACAAGCATACCCGGAGACCAACATTTGTATTGAAAACGGATATAAAAGTAAGTGATGGTCAATAATTGATGATCCCGTAAAAAAAAATATATATTATTTTTTCGTGTACCTATAGGTCCTAGAAAAATATGATATAAAATTATACAAATATATAGAATACATAAATATTATAGTAAAAGGGGAATTACCCGTTTCCGCCAAAATTTGAAATGACCGATTCCGCCATCGCCCGTTTCCGCCAATTTAAAAAAAGGTTCGATTTCCGTTTCCGCCAATTTACCTGCTATTCACTTATTCATAATTAATATACACAACATTTTGTCATAGTTTTAATAAATATAATAATAAAGTAAAAATCACTTATTCATAATTAATATACACAATATTTTGTCATAGTTTTAATAAATATAATAATAATACATAAATACATATAATATTTTGATATTTTGTCAAACCTAATTTTAAGAAATACAGTAATTGAAATAATTTCAAAAGTCATAATATTTTKTTAATTTATTTAATATAATTAAATGCAACACTCTTTACGTACGAATAACGCRATATTAGTTTATTTTTAAAATCAGTTATAGCCTTATTAGTCCTATCACATTTTAACAAAGTGTATCATATATGATACAGTGCAAGGCAATGTTAGATACAAACGAAAAATCCCCTTATAAATTTTTACTCATTTATGTATGATAGTGTACACTCCCGCTGACAGTCGCGGACGGGCATTTCCATGATGAATGATGATGCTATTCAATTATATATATATATATAATATAAATAACTTTAAAATGGAATCATCGTACCTATACAAATCGATAAGATTGGTTGATTTGATTGATAAGTAATTGAACAGATAGGAACATTGAGATATAGTGTTGACACATAGGTAGACGTAGTGACACTAGTGTTTAATACTTACAACGAGATAAACGTATTTGTGAATTTGTTATTTAATAATATACATTATACAATCAGTACTATGGAATATATAGAAAGTAAAATTGGTAAAAAAATGTTAGTTTTGGATGATTTTAAATATTTCATATTTTGGAGCAGAATATTTTCTCAACAATGTTGGATTTTTTTAACTTAAATTTTTTTATTTTAAGCAATCAGGTTCATGTAGGTATACATTGATAATAAGCAAAATTAATAAAGTCATATTTTATAATGATAAGTAATTGAGTGAAGTAATCTCTCAATGAGAAATTTAGATACTTCGTCAGTAAAAATATAAATGTGCAATTATAAAATTAAAAACGTGAGAAGACATTTAAATTTAAAATAAAATAATACAGGTATTTTAAAAAAAAGTTCAATTAATTATTTTCCTTAACTGTAGTGTTAATCTATGTCAGTTTTATACTGTTATGCATTATACTTCAATAGCTTCTTGAATATTTATTTTGGTTTTTACTTTATAACGATGTTTAAAATTAAAAAACACAAATTTGAAAAAAAAATATGGAAATGCGTCTTAGCAGAATAAAATCTTCTACAGCTATGTAAGCGGCTAATCATAAGGAAAAATCAAACGAATTATGTTCAGAATTTACTAAATTATAATGTCTCAGTTAATTTTCACGATCATGGGTCCCTATTTTTAAATTTTACTTGATAATTCGCTTTCAGACAACAAAACCACAGTTATCAGACACGCCTACGACAATGTGGCTATGCAACACACCCTGCAACAGTAATAAGCAGATATCTCATCTTTTACGACAAGAGACGTCAATATTATATAATAAATCGTAAAACAATAATTCATATACTATACAAAAACATGATAAGTGTATTATATATTATATAAAATAATAAAATAATGTTGAATGTTCTATCAGCAAATATATGTTATCACGGCCGTGGCATAAGTGACGAAATATTATGTATAATTTATTATTTATTAATTTATTATATTGTATACCTAATGCAGGGATGCACTCAGGATTATTATTTTTTGGTGGGGAGGGGGGCTAAATTAAATCATTTTCAAATATTAATACTATTAAGTATTTAATATTTATTTTAAAACATGTACAGGAATCTTTAAGCTTGTGTATACGATCTTTTACTTAGTAATTTTGTTTTTTGATTCCGGTTCTAAGTTGCGCCGTCGTGGTGATGTTATTACCTACTTGTTATGCCTGTAAGGCTGTAAAACATAAATATTAATTTATTAAATTATGAATAGTACCTACCTATGGTGATATTTTTTTATAGAAATATTACGTTTTGAATAGTTGAGACGCCTTGGTCCTTTTTTCCTTATACTGACAGTACTTCCGAAGTTTGAACATTGATTTCTCGATGAATATGAAGCATAACTAATCCATTCGGTCGATTCTGACTTATTGTAATTCTCATTTTGAGGGGAGAATAAGCCCGTTAGACCCCCCTTGGTATAATACTATAATGTGTGGTATGATGGTACTTACATGCGTCGCTCAAACCACCTGCTTCACAGTGGCGTACCCTGCAATGGTAGGGAGGTATTAGCTTCGATTATATACCCCCCGCAGTGTAATTTTTATTTTTAACCAACCAACTTAGCATAGATCTCTTATTACTTATTATACCTATTGTATAATAGTTCCGTGCTACTATAAGTACATTATATACAGGGTGATTCTTTTATCAAACAACACTAATTATTTCAAAAACTATTGACTTTTTTCAATTTTTTTTTTCTTCATAATTTTAGATCCATCTTGTTCTAGAACTATGTATTTTTTTAAATATTTTCACCCTTATACTTATCAGGTAAACCATTATCAACTTTTGATTTTCAAATGACAACCTWTACTTAAAATGTCATAAACTAAAAAGGCTATTTTTTCAATGAATTTTCACGTTTAAATTTTAAATTTTCGTTAATCCGTTTTCGAGATATAGCCTCACAAAGTTGGGTGGTTTTAGCCGTTTTAGGTGGTGTTTGTGTGTTATAGGTGTATGCTAGGTGGTATTACACACGAACACCATATAAGTGCAGTTGTACTGTTGTTTGATAAAAGAATCACTCTGTATTATTAAGTATTAACCATATAGGTATAATTGTATAAACATAGAGCCATATGCCCATACAAATGCGTCGTTGATGGTATACCTATCAGAAAACTTGAATGTAATCAGTTTTCAGTTATTAGAAGCAGAGTCAAACTGCGTATTAAAATTAAATAAATTTATACTGCTGCATATAAAAACCTTAATTTRTTATACTTAATAACGTATATTTTTTAGGTAGGTAGGTTTACCTAACCTAATATTTAAATATCTATCATGCATTCATGCAGCATTATAGCAGTGTATTTGAGACTTGAGTATAACGATGGGTGGGTCACCCCCGTAGGRAGTGTACTTTATTTTGTTTTTATTTAAATTATTGTACCACACGGTGGCTTAATCTAGGCGTAAGTATATTATAACAARGGTGATGGTAACTAGTGTGACCAGACGTCCCCCATTAGGGGGGATTGTCCCGTTTTTCAGAGTTGCGTCCCGCATATCTAAATGTCCCACTTTGGTCCCGTATTTATGAAAATTGAAGTGGTGCATCATGATTCCACACTCTACACTCTAAAGGACGTTGTATCAGACTTGCAATCATGAATTGATAATAAAAAAAAATTGTATCTAAGGATAAGTATTAAAACTGTAATTGTGGTTGTAAATTAAAATTTGTTTAAGTAAAAACTTTAACATTTTAAAATATGTAGAAGGTATCTAATGTTTGTCTGATTTGTTTATCAATAAAAAATTATTTTAAATAAAATGAAATGTAATGGTCACATTAGTGATAGCCGACGGGCCATTTGGAACATATAATTTCAATTCAATCTTTAATTTAGTAAGCAATATAAATTTATAATTTATTATATTCGTAATTTTAAGATAGTTAATTTATAAAGATTACAATTTACATACTTACCTGCCTATTGTTGAGAACGATTAACGAGTGAGTTTACGTTAAATTTAAGTGGTTTTTTTGTGAAAATAATTTCCGTTCATTGAATTTGTTAAGTTTGTTTACTTTATACTATCTACTTTTTTCTTTTTCTTAACAATAATAAACTGAATTTTCTTTTAAAAGTATATTATGATTTAAGATGAACAACAATAAACTGTCTTACCTATAGGCTATAGTCAAACGCCTAAATTATCATAGGTATCTTATTGACCTAGTTGGTACTTACTGTTTTAGTGTATTATGAATATTTCGAAAAAAAAATGTTTTACCTATACCTATTTATGTTTTGATGTAATAATTTAACATCTATTATAATATTATATTTTTTAACATGTAACATGTAAGTTCATTCAGTATATTAAATGTAAAATAATATTTTAGCAACATTGTATTGTAACGTAGTATTTCAACAAGGTGTAGAATTTCATGCTTTTATAATTTTTGTATATATAAATGTTAATAACATGTCCATGTTGAGWGTAACCAGGGACTAAMATTATGTGTACAACTAATAATTATATTCTTATATTATTAATATGACAAACTTTAATTTCTTTAATAATAAATAAAAATAAAGCAATACTTTATTTAGTCCAATATCCATTTAATTTTCTAAATATTTAAATTAATAAAGTCCATCTAAGTACCTACTAAATAAACTAATCCGACTAGGTATGCAAAGCTCAGATTTTTTGTTTTTATATTGATACTTCAACATATAATTGTTTACCAATAGTTAAACTATAGTATCTTTTTATAATTGAGTTTTTAAGGGATATAATTTAACAATAAATTAATAGCAAACTGTAAACCTATTTATTAGGATTTTGTACCCATAAAATGTCTTTAGTTTTAAAATAAAATTGGAAAAAAATATGAGATGAAAAATTTATAAGAATCAGTTCAAAAGTATAAACCAATTATGGAAAAAAATAATAAGTTTAAAAAAATTTTACTGCTAAAATAAAGAAGATTTGCTTGATTAAAAATACTGATTGAAATCATCTTAATGGTGAAGCTGATTGTAATAATGAATTGTGCAATTGCTGATTATAACAATTATTTCATATTCAATTTAAGTTATAAATATAATAAAACAGACTTGAAAATTTGAGAAGTATAACTTATTTCAYAATAACTTAATTAATCAGATAAAGATTGAGAGTATAAAACTATTAAMTATACACAAACCACGATAATTTAAATCAAATTTTATAACAATTGTTGATAAAAAATAAATCTATTAACTATCAAACTTTAAGATAAAAATAATAACTATTAACTAATAACATTATGACATTGTGTTCCCATGTAATTTTTTAATGTTTGTTAAATATACATGCATATAGTATGGTAGGTTAGGTTATATTATAAAGTGTATTATAGCTAATCTGTGTATAAAATATTGAAATTTAAAATTGCCAATTTATTATTTTTAATTTCAGAATGTTGTATTGAATTTAAAAAAAAAATTAATTTTCAAATTTAAATTATTTGTTTAATATACTATATATATATTTTTTAAACTTAATTAAGACATTAGAAACTAATGTCATATTACAATTTTACTTTACATAATGAATCAATGAATCGATAGTGAGGTATGAATACACAATTTAGTAGCCAATGATTGATCCATTACTTTTACTTTTAATTAAACTACTAAATTAAAATTTTTCTTTTTGCACTCGGCATGAGGTGTTTGACATTATTACAATAAATTGTTTGTGTATGAAAATTTTACAGGTAGTTGTGACTTACGAAAACTGATAAGTACATTATTATTTGTATATAGTTTTTGTWATAATTTATACACTAGTGCTTGTATTTATAATTCACTAGATAGTAGATACTTTAATCTTGGGTAAAATTTTAATGATTGTAATGAACTCAGTATCTCCTTAGATTCCTCAAAATATTATATTTCTATTCGTCAGTTCAGGAATGATTTACAATCCTTTCCTTTAGTAAATCATCAATTAGAGCAGTGTTTCTCAAATTATGTTAATACCCCCYTGAATAGCAATCAATTTTTTAAAGCCCACGTATGTTAGAATTCAATAGTTAATTTTAATTTATAGCATAAGTAAATTATTTAAATAWACCTGCATATTATGAAAAAACTTATAACTTTATCTGTTAATAACAATAAATTTTAGTTTAATTTAAAAAAATTAACTACAGTGAGATGGTTCAACTTGATGTTTTTTAGCTAGTTTTTTTTTACATTAGGTTGGATTTTCTTTAAGCACCTAACCTATTCTTGGGGAATTTAATATTCTGTGATAACATTTAATATTTTATGGTGTAGAAAATTATTGAAAATTTTACATTTTAAACACTGAATATTATTTTATGAAATTGAAAATAATAACAACATAAACAATAACCAATATAATACACTTGGATTGAATCAAATGGTGTACTAAAAAGTTGGTTAAGATAATAAGTATTAAAAAATATAATGAGCATTCACAATCACCAAAAAAAATAAAAATAAGTTATTGTGCATTTCTTTACATAGTACCAACTACTGACTGATAATTATTATATGAATCATTAAGTATATGACATATTATATTTAGATTGCACTTTGCACTATGTACATGTTTTTGTGTGAATGCTCGCTGCCTGTCTTTTGACCAAAACACAATCACTGCCCAAATTAGGTTMTGTGCTTCACAGTTATCCTCAACCCTCCTTAGAGTTAGAGCACTGAGAACCACTGAATCTGAGAATTAAGATTATTTAGTTTAGATTAGGCTACAATTATTTTGATGTAAGAATCTTATTAAATGATTTTTATTTTTGAGTATTTGTTGCTGATTTCTCCAAACCATTTTCCATGTTCTAAGTATCTTTAATTCTTCCTCAGAAAAGTCCCAGTAGTTTATGTTTTTTGACAATAAAGATGATCTGAAAAGTCAAGTACACAGCAGTTAAAATTAATTAAATGTAATTTTATAGCAAAAACATTATTTTTTGTGATATTAATATTTTCACCCGTATTTTCATTTGCTGGCAGAGTAGTAATTTCTGTATCATCTTTATCATTTATTGAATCTACAGAATCAATTTCTATCGTCTTCTACACTTCTACAGTAAATATAAAAAACAAAAGATATTGAAGTTTTAAATTATGTAATATATACTAACCATTAACTGTTTCTTCTTCCAAAATAAGATTTTCTAGATTKTTAGAAACTTAGAAATAAGTTTATCTGATAAACTTTCTGTAAAATAAAATTTCTTATAAGTACCTTGTTCTAATTAAATTTAGGTAGTTTTCTATATTTTATTTTATTATTAGTTTTTTTTATATAAATAGCTATGGACATTAATGCGCGAACTTCAAATTATGTTAAAAATATAAAAAAAGCATTTCATTAAGTAAGACGTAAGTAATGAAAATTTATTATTTTAAAACTTTAAAATACCTGTAAGTTATGATTTTCTTGAATAAAAGAACCTAGCTGGTACAAAATCAGGCTTAATATATTATTTCCAAATCATCCAAATTGTTTATAAAATGTTTGCTACAGAGCTTAGTATACTCTGTTATCACAATAAGAACATCTTTTTTATTTTATTAATCCATTTTTTCCTAAGATTAATGTTTGAAGGAAATTTGTAAAAACATTTAAGAAAATGTAYATAAAATATTTGAAATGATTTTAAGTATATTATGAAAAAAAAATGTTGACCTGTGAAATTTTACATAGTCTGTCTTAGCAGAATCACTAATACAACATTTTTAAACCATTATGATTTTGAATTGTGTAATCAAATTTGAAATTAGTAAGGAAGCTAAAAACAAACTCTTTGCTCGTATAACACAATAATAATATATATTGTATAACATTTATTTCTCTTAGCCCAGAACTATATTATTTTGGTAAAAGATGAATGGTAGATGATGATATAACTATCACTATTCTTTTTCCACGGAGAAAATCGATTTTTTTTAATTTCCACGAAAAACATCTTTAGAGTCTGTGCTCTCAAACGACACAGTCACACCAATACATCATAGAGCATGTTCTATGCTCACCACCAACTAAGATAATATCATGATGTGTCTTCATGATGCTCCTACATAATATGTTAACTTCTAACATTTATACATGGAATAATATGTGTTGTTACTTGTTCTTGTTCAATGTAAGTAGAAGCACGATGTAGAGAAGATACAGAAGATGTGAAGTCGTGGTCGAATATCTAGGGGGTTTAGACGTTTTAGTTAGTTTTTACCATGAACTTGAGTGTTTGACTGGCTTGAGGCGTTTGAGCGCAACATAGATATTAATAATTAATGAAAGATATTTACATGCACACATCACTCTATTTTATTAATTTAACCATGACGATGGCGTATCCACTATCCAACATGATAAAATTATCATGCAATCCAAATGTATCCATTCGTTTTCGTTAATAAAATAATAACCATGTTCAATGCATAGATAATATAATATGATGTATATATTATCTATGGTTCAATCGTTCAATGTTGAGCAAACGAATTTTTAATTTTTATCTTACGAGTTTTGAATTTCTGATAGTACTTATCATGGAACATACGAATAACCCGACAACTTCGTCTCCTCCATGTGAAATGTGTATAACGAATTTTTCATATTCGCTGTTCAGAAATTCATGATTTCAGTTTTTCTTTTTCATTTGATTAACCGACGAATTCAAAATTGAAGTATTTTATCCTTATATCCGATTCAATATACATCTATATAATCARTTACAAATCGTGAATGACCAAAAGGACGCAAACTTGACAGGTAATGAACCAATGAATAGTTAAAAAATATTTTATAACTGACTAGGTAACAACTTTTGCTACAACGCTATTTGCAGTTTTCAGAGTTTTCGTTAGACGAGTACCTAATATTTTTTGACGAAATTATATTTATCTTAAGATACCAACTTCATTAGGATTTATTACTTGGCATTACGCATAAAAATAACCCTGTGTCCATRCTTAACATTTATCTTTTTATAGTTGTGCGGACTTTTGAACAATATTAGTACATAGGTAATAATACAATATTATTTTTTTTTTGATATTTAACTTATTATCTATTCTGTTTACAGAAAAAAAATAAGATGAGCAATTATTCCACTCCAAAAATACTGCGCTCCACAGCAAAATTACCAGAAACGCCTGCCTTGGAACGCATTGGATATGGAACTGGTGTGTTATTTCTCAAGTAATGTTAATGTGCAGTCATGATAACCTTTATAATAACTTAGGTGTCGGTGTGTTCAATTTGCAAAGAAAAGATCAGTCGCCGTGGGCAGCAAAAATTATCAGTCGTAATGCTGGTAGAGATCGCAAACAGTTTAGCAACCGTTTGCAGCTAGAAGCTAAAGTGTTATCGTCACTCAACCATCCTAATATAATTGGCTATCGAGCATTTGTCAAGAGACCTGATGGCCGAGAAGTATGATTTTACCATTTAAAATAACTATAGTTTTAAATGTTTTCTGTAAGGTTTTTTTAATTTTAGGTACTGTTAATGGAACAATGTGAACAAAGCTTAATTGATTTGATTGAAACACGCAAGGAAGAGAATCTTGGACCATACCCTGTAGAATATATCACAAAGGTTGCTGTGGACATTGCAAAAGCATTAGAATATTTACACTCATCTTTAGTATTGCATGGAGACATAAAATCTGGGAATGTTTTGGTGAAAAGTAAGTCTGTTTATGTGTTGTAACTAGTGTTTGAAAATTTCATGAAATTTAAAATTGTGAATCATTTAAGTATTATTATAATTTTATTATTTTTATTTAAGTTTTATTTAAACGTATAATTGTCATAACTTACCTCCAGAATTTTATAATAATAGGGAATACAATCAATRACTACTCATTAATGGTGGTTTTCATTGGTTAAGTTATTGATAAATATTCATCATCAATATTTGTACTAGAAAAAATTTCAATGTTTTACTTTTTTGTGAAATATTTCATACTTCAAATACTAGCTGTAACTACTAGTAACTAGATATGTACATCATATATAGGTATATATAGGTATCAAAAGAATTACTTTGATAATTTAATTTGATCTAAATCATACTCCTCATAGTCCAGTACTTTAATATTAAACAAAAAGTTTTGTGAAKCTCTTAAAAATTAATGATAACGGCATATTGGCTGAGACACAATATTGTTGTCCTTTAACCAATTAAAATTTCAATATTTTACTAGCCAAATAATAAAATATTCAAATTCAATTTTAAGCCATAAAAATGTCTACAGATTTTTGTATCAATACTCTAACAAAAATAATTCAACATATTTCTTTATTTTAAATATTTTAAAAGTGGTCCATGGCCCTAACTGAAAGTTTTATTTTCATATAAGTTAATTTAGCTCATAATAGTTGGAACAACTACTTCAGGCCTATTTTTTAGTAGTCATTGAAAATTAAAATTAAGATTTGTTTAATATTGTATTTAGGTATTTTAGAATAGAAAATAATTGTTACATGTTATTTAAGTTTTTAACAGGATTATAATAAATTTAATTAACATAAGAGGATGTCRCACTGTATGTTTTGTCACCATCTTACATAAATACAACATAGACAATTTTTATTCAACAGTTTCAGTAGTGTGCTGTTAGTTTTGATAATATAAGAGYGGGTTGACCTATTATAAAATTTAAAGGTAAGATTTTATCTAGGCATCTACGCAGACTTTTATTGATATTATATTTAAGTAAATTATAACCTTTTTGAAACTACATTTTAAAATGATCATAACTTCAAATCAATAACACCAATAAAATCCTATGTGGGGCCCTAAATAATAATCTTAAATTGTATAATATATCAATTAAAAACAGTCAATTCACTCTAATATCAAAACTAACAGCATACTATATGAAACTGATGAAAATTTGCAAAATTGTACATGTTTTAGACACTGAAGACATGCAACATGCTCTTAATACAAAATTCTAGTGACTGAACTAAAAGTAATGTTACCTGAAAAATTGTTAATTCTTGTACTGTGAATAGACTTACATACAACAATATATTTAGTTATTAACTTTCTATTTTTAAGACTAATAAGATTGATATAATGTCCACAGATAACTTTGAGATTGTAAAACTTTGTGATTTTGGTGTCAGTTTACCTTTGAAATTTGATGGAACATTGCATAAAATCAAAGGTTGCAGAGCATTATACATTGGGACTCCTTGTTGGTCTGCTCCAGAAGTATTAAAAGGTGAAGAATGTTTGGGAGCTATCATCACAAGTAAAGCTGATATTTTCAGTTATGGTTTGGTACTTTGGGAGATGATGACTTTATCATTCCCAAACTCAAGTACWGCAATTAATGAATCATATTACACTGGAATGAGTGATGACTTGGATGCCCATTTAGGTGATTTTTTGTWAAAACCAATAATATACAAATAATAACCAATAATAAACTAGTATATTACTAACTATAATCAATATTTATTTTCATTCAGGTGAGAGACCACCAATACCTGAGGGTTTGGCAAGTGATCCAAGATACAAACAAATTATTGAGCTGTTTAATATGTGTACAATGCAAGATTATAAAATGAGACCTTCAGCAAAACAGATATTACAGTTTATGGGTATTTACTAACCTTTAAATTATTTGTTCTAACTATAATTTTAGTACTTATATTAAAATAATTTTTATGTGCCTTATTTGTTTTATATTTAAAAGTATACACATTAATGCTTTTCAATTGTTTATGATATGTTACCAATAAGAATAATTTTTAAGCTTATGAAAGTTTTAATTTCCTTGCAAAAGCTATTGATGTTAAAAAATATTTAATCTATAAATTTAATTCAAATTTCTTTAAAATCTTATTTTAACTCAAAAACTGCATTATTTTTTTTCTTAAAAAAATGTATTTTATTTTAAAACTAAATAAAAACTTAATCTTAATAGAGTTGAAAAGCACACTTTTTTGTAATTATAATGTTATTGATTTTCAATAAATGTTCAAAAAGCAATTTTCGAAACTATTTTTTTAAGCTGTCTTGATTTTTTTTTTCTATATTCAGAAGTAAATTCATTTTTTTAGTAATTATAAGGGATGTTAACTTTCATATTGGTCTAGGACGAACTTTCTAATAATTTATAAATTCTGAGCTGAGTGACTATTTATTGGTCTTCCAATACATTTGCTGTTGATTTTTTTTTGTCATACTTTAGTGCTTCAACCTGCTATTTTGATTGTGGTTTCTGGAAGTTAATTGGATCTAGTTGGCACTTGGACTAAAGGCAATAAATTCCTTGTACTTTTCAAAACGGAGGAATAACAAATTTTATTAGATTTAACATAAGGCTTTGCAGAACTTAAATAATCTAAAATAAAAATAATTAATTTAATTTGCCTATAAGATGACTAACAGGTATCAAATTTGTTTACTTTCGTAATATTATATTAACCATGATAATATTATGTGAAATTTAATATGACATTATTTGAATGTTGACAGAATTACTTTGAAAACTAATACAAATAGGTTATTTTATTTTTGTCATTAAAATGACTACTGCATTTTTGAGATTAGTAAATTAACTTAGTTCCAGTAATTTTAAATTTGGATTACATTCATAAGTAAAAATTTATTAAAATTAAGGAGGAGCTAACATAATTAATTATAATGTGAGCTTTGACTTCGATTTCATATAATGTATACAATTAAAAAGTGAGTTTATATTATTTTTTTTTAGTGGGAGGGGGTTAGTCTCTCTCTAAATTTTTCATCCATGGTTACGTTAAAACAATATTACTCAATACTGCACATATAGTTCTGTAAAAAAACCATTAAATATTTTTTGATGCCAACCAAAAAGAAGTTTTAAGAATATTTTTATTTATATTTTCTAACTTTCAGAATGTATATAAAAAAATAGAAAGCCATGGTGGGGATTTAACCATAAATCGCATAAACCGTATTTGCATTTTGTTTTTTTTTTTTGTTTCGAAAAATAAACGATAACACGGCATTCTGGGTAGCCTTTTTCTACGCAGTCATTGTTTTCTGTTACATTATAAAAACATTTTCATAAATGGTACTGCGGCGCTCTCAGTATAATATTATTTAGGTTTTAGAACGCACTTATCAATATTAGGTAGTTATTTTGTATTTCAAATAAAACTGCAAAAAATAACAAATTATAATAATTAAACAAACCGCAAAAAAAAATATTTATTTGTTAGATTGAGCTTCGCATAACAACAAAAAAAAGTCTTAAACTAAAAATAATAATAATAATAAGAGGGGATATTTAACTATCGAGGCACAATATAGAACTGAATTATTTTTAAACTCAAAACAGTCGAAAGTGTCAAATTAGAATAAATTTGTACACATTCCTATTTTAATGTTCTGGTATAATATCATGATTTTGTTTTATTAACAATTTCGCGACTCAAACGGGTTTACAGATAGTGATGGGAGGGGGTGGGATGTACGAGTTACGAACTCGACGTATTTGGTTAGTTTTGTAACACTATTTAACGAAAAAAAAAAAACACACACACACTAATATTCGAAAAAAAAAATGCAATAATAAAAATACAATACAACACGCGACGACGAACATAATATATTATTATTTTCATATCATATACCTACGAGAAGAAAAACAAAATATACTGTAAGTATAATTATAATAAATATTCAAAATGTTTAACGCTTTCGGTCTCTTAGCTGACACAAATATATTATACACATTACAAGAGGGTAAGAGTACTGTTTGCAGCTATATAAAATATTAATAATAAGACTACGAAATACAATAATAATATATTGTTATGCACATCACGTAAAACTATGTACAGCTTTTATATTATTGGTATACAAAACTAAATAGGCTGAACACATGCGTTTTTTCAAACGAAAAGGGGGAAGAAAAAACCTATTTTTTAAAACGAAAAAAAAACATAATAATATTCAATAATACATAATAGGTTTATATATTATATATAATATATTTTATATGAATATTATGATGTTATATAACGATAAAACGAACAAAAACGATTCAATATGAATCACACACACACACGCACATGTCACAATATACATTATATATTGGTATTTTGCGTGCACGTGGAGGTAATTATAATTTTATATTACAATAATCATCATCATTACTGTATCAATCTTAAAACATAACGTAACAATAACTAAAATAATAATTAATACGCAGTGTAGATCGCGCACGGGATGCATGCCGGGCGACGACTTCCGGCGGATGACCGAGTGYCGTTTTACCGCCGTTCGAACATTTTCTTCCGGTCGGCCACCACGCCGCACATGGCCGGCGTCCTCAGCAAGATGCTGTTAACCCTGGACAGTTTCTTCGGAGACCTCTTCGGCTCTGCGAACGCGATACAAACATGGATAAGTGCAACGTGTTTATTTATTAAACCAGCAAAATTAAATTATGACCAACACCTGTGCAGCGCTGCAGCAGGAAAATATTAAACCGGATTATTCAGATTTCACCTATCGGAAAAGTCACACTGGACAGATTTTATTTTAAATTCTTAAAATACCTATGACGGTAGCTAGATTACTTTGGAACGAACAGATAATTAATATTTATTTAATTAAACAAAACTTTTAAATGCTTAGTTTTAAGAAAATAACAATATGAAATTTATACATTATACAATTTCAGAAACGGATGATATAATATTTCTAAACAATCAAAGTTTAGTYGTTCAGACGCATAATAAAATCAGAGTTAGTAAGTATTTTATATTATTTTGTACAAAAATAGGGAAAAACACATGTAAATGCTTATAAAATTACCTGCTGAAGGGTTTAGAGCCGAGGGTTCCGCGTGACGAGGAGTCACGTCACACGTTTCTGGTGTAACGAGTGACCCGTCGACAATGGGCTCTATAAAATCAAAACAAAAAACTGATTCAATACAACTTTCAGATAATATAATACATTTTTACACTAACAAGACCGTATTCTGCTTCAATAAATTTAGTATTAGTCTATAGAGTCCGGACTTTTATGTCCTTTTAAAAAGCTTCAAACATGCAATCTATGGTAAGTATATAGGTACATACATACATGTTACAACAAACAGTAAGTACCAAGTATATTTTCAGAGCATGATCGTAGATTATTTTTTCCAAAAAGTTGTCTTCTCTAAGATAAAATATTTTTTTTCAAATAAAAGGACAGTAGGAAAGTATATATTATATTGTTCAATCTTTGTGTTATTTTGTACGTTGAAAAAATAATAAAAAATAATTGTTAATAGATAAAGCAGTAGAAATGGATATGTACATCTGGCACAACGCACAAAAGTATTTGTTATTAGGCGCAGAATGCATAAAACGGAAACAAAAATAAAAAGTACTCAGAAGTCAGATAGTAGGTAAAATAAAAAATAAAACTGTATGATCTTAATACATGATATTAGCCTAAACTTTAAACGATTATATTTACGTGTCTATTTTAAAACAAAAAAATCCAGACTCTAATATATTAATAATTAAGAACATTAAAAAAAATATTTAATGTGTGGATATTGACCGACTTCGTTCCAGTCGGGCGGACGGGCGTGCTGGATCGATTCCGAAATCTGTCATATTTTATTAGTTGTAAGTATATGTTTACCACACACATCAATAGTATTATTAATGTGTTTAGTTTAAAATATAATGTACCAGGTAGCTACACCGATTAATAGATAAACGTCTTCGAATTGTGATGCACCTACTTAAAATGTTATATGTATAGGTAAATACATAGCGCGTAGATCAGAAACCGTTGCAGACCGGAACCAGGGAAATCTGTGGGATTTTAGTTTTCTAACCGCCAAAAGAACCGGAATCGGACCAAAACCAACAATACGATAACCAGAGATCTACAAGAAAACAATACACCAAAACCAGAGCAGAGAGTGTTGAAAACGGTCCCGGTTCTATTACATATATATATTATATACCAAGTAGCAGCTGTCTCAGCTTTCAGGCTACAACCAAAGGAACGTACACCGGAAACCCGTCCACCCCTCCCCTCCCCCCCAAAACAGCCGCCCGTCGCCCGAGTACGCGTCCTCGGTTACTTTGGTATACTTTGGTTGCGCGTGTGCTGTATAGTGTATACCTCGAGTACGGCTCCTGCAGGCCGCGACGGTCCTCAACTTATTTACCAGCGCCACTACGACAGGCCGGTCGACCCGCGTCACCGTCGCGTCGTACTGTTCAAAACTGTTCAAAATGCTGTCAAGCGATTCGCCATGCTGTTGTGTGCGGTCAAGCAATAAAAGGTATATATAAAAAAAAATATTGATTATACAAACAGGGATTATATTAATAGGTATGTGTACAATATACAATTATTGTTAACTACAAGTGAAATAAATATAAATATTTAGGTAAAAGATGCGTAGTAGGTGTAGCATTATTACAAATATTATACCTATACACAATAATACGCAGACTACGATTTGGAATATATATACAGAGTGATTTTTTTATCATGAACCACTCATTATTTCAAAAAGTATATATGTTTTTGAAAATATTTTTTTACAAAGTTTCATGTTGTTAAAAACAACGTTTTTATTAAAAAATGTRTGTTTTTTAATATTTTTTATCCTTATAATTTTTTTACTTTTTACTTGTTTGCATGACAACCTAGAGTTTTAATTTCATATTCCAAAGCTGAATATTTTTCTAAGTATTTTGATACGTAAAAATCGAAATTTGGACGAGTAGTTTATAAGTTATAAGTATTTAAAGTTTAGATTGGCAGAATGAAGTGGTACGGGGTTACCCCGCAAAATGTTTGTCCACTACTCCACTTCAC